AAACTATAGATTTATCCACACTTTGAGATAGTTACAGTAGACCACACCAGAGTCAGTGGTATTTAAGTGCATAGAGATTTTTTTGTTTGCTCTATAAAGCACACATAAAGACAGACAAATCCCAGGTAGCCCTTCATTGCCATGTAAGGGTGAAAAATCAGCTGAAACACCATGTCTTTGTGCATATACCAAAGAGCTAAGACATCAGAGAGAAGAAATCTTTTGCATTCCCCTCCTTACTGAGGAGCAGAGCTCATTCGTTAGAGGGTTTCACATGCTTTGCCAAACACTGTGTAGGGGATAGGTATTAAGGGCCAGAGAATCAGATAATAGGGGCTTATCATTGAAAGGTTTTTGGAGGGGCATAGCCCATTTACTAATGTTGTTCACTAATATCTTGTACTTGACCCAGAGAATTTGGAAACCTGGGAGAAAAGAGTGTAAACTTTTCCTTGATTATTATTATGCGGTTAAGAGAGATTTTTTCAGATTTTAAAGGATCCATGGAATTTCTATATGCAGTTTCCATATCCAAAACTCTAAAGGGTGAAATATTTTATGTTATACTCTTACACCCCACTAGATTTCATTTGATTTCATGGCTATGCATGAGAATCAGATCTGCTATTGTTTAATTAAGCATTGAAACCTATTGATAAAGAAGAGAGAACAGAAGTTGATAAAGTAAAGTAGGAACTGAAGGGAAACAGTCAAACAAAAGAGTCCAATTCAATTATATCACATGGAGGCAGCTGACTTAAAAGTGGCACATTTTGTAAGTACTTGCATATAAATGTTAAAAATCTAAACACTGAAATGGATTAAATGATGGCATTGATGTAATAGGGATAATAGAAACTTGGTGAAACAATTATAATCAATGGGACACACTAATACCAGGGTATAAAATACATAGGAATTACAGAAGAGGTTGTGCTAGTGGAGGAGTGGCAGAGTCAAAAATAGTAGAAGTATTAAATGAGTCAAATTGTAACACAGAATTTCTATAGATAGAAATGTCATGCTTGAATAATAAGGATATAGCAATAAGAATATACAGGTTGCGTCTCCCTTAACCATGACTCTCTGGTCCGGCAACATCCGTAGTCTGGAAGAACCATGCATGTTCTTGGACAAGAGAGTCCCAGGGCAGAAGGACCAGGAGCTGGGAACCTGGCAGGGGCGGGAGCTTTGAGGGCTGGGGGTAGTGAGGTCAGAGCCGCTGCAGCCTGACCAAGCCATGGCAGCCCAATCAGCCGTGGGACTGGTGCAGCCTGGCAGAGAAAGCCCAGCCAGTGCCACTCCAGCCTGTTGAGGTTGTGTACCGCCACGCATCAGGACTGGGGGCCAGGGCTGTGCATTGCTTAGACAGTGTAGGCCCAAGGTTGCAGCGACCTGGCAAGGAAAGCTTGGCTGGGGCCACAGCAGCCTGCCATCAGAACCGAAGCCTTGATAGTGGGGTCACTGCCACTGCTGCTCAGGCAGCAGTAGAACCAGAGCTGCCTGCCACCCGGAAGCAGGGCTAGGGCCACAGCAGCCCAGCCAGCAGCAGGGTTAGAGCAGGTCAACCCGGCAGGGGCTGGGGACTGTCAGCAGGCAGCCCATTTGGAAAGGAATGAGCCAGGGGCTGCAAGCTGAGGGGACTTTGGCACGGGACCTCTCCTGGTCTGGCAAATTCCCTTCTTTGTGATCCAAAGATCCTGAGGGTGCTGGACCAAGGAGGTCCAAACTGTATTATCAACACCTGATGATAATTGTGGTTAGAGAAGCTATAAAGTAGAAAACTCAGTAATAATTTGGGATTTCAACTGTACACACATTTGACTGGATACGTGTCACCTCAAGATGGGATGTAGAGATAAACTTGCTAGACACCATTTGGTGAGGCATGGTTTCCCTTTACTGCTTCGTGGAGCACCTATTCAGGAATCCACAAGGGGCGGGCAGTTCTTGATTTAATCCTAAATGGATCACAGGATCTGGTGAAGGAGGTGAATATAATGACCTGCTTCATAATAGCGACCATAATGTAATCAAATGTAATATCTAGTGAGGGGTAATACGAGAAACTGACCACAGTAGCATTTAAGGTGATGAACAGAAAAATGAGGAAGTTAGTTGAGTGGAAACCAAAAAGAACAATCACAAGAGTGAAATGCCTTCAAGCTTCATGGAAAAGTGTTTTGACATCATAATAGAGGCTAAAATTAAATGTATACCCCAAATTAAAAAAAAACCCCAACAACCAAAAAACAGAAGAGGATCAAAAATGCCACCATGGATAAACAGAGCAAAACATGTGGTTAAAGGCTAAATGTCTAAAAATTGGAAATCATACATATTTTTTTGAGGAAAGTAGAAATGAACATAAACTCTAGCAACTCAAGTGTAAAAGAATAATAAGGTATAAGTCTTTTACTAGTTGCTCAAGTTCTAGCAGCAAATATATGTTTGAGTACATCAGAAGCAGTCAGTGGATGATTGAGGTGCAAAAAAGATCACTCAAGGTAGAAAAGGATGTTGCAGAGAAGTTAAATTAATTCTTTAGTTTTTACTGCAGAAGATGTGATGGAGATTTACATCTGAGCCATTTTTTTAATGTGACAAATCTGAAGAACTGTCCTAGTTTGAGATTTGGTACAGGAGGTTTTGGATCAAATGGATCAAATTAAACACTAATAAATTGTCATGACCAGATGGTATTCACCCAAGAGTTCTGAAGGAATTCAGATATGAAACTTCAGAACTGCTATCTGTGATATGTAACTTATACCTTAAATCAGCTTCTGTACTAGATGGTTGGGGGATAGTTAATGTGACTACAATTTTTAAGAAGACTTCAGAGACGATCCAAACAATTACAGGCTTGAAAATCCAACTTTAGATCCAGGCAAATAGACTGAAACTGTAGTAAAAACAGAATTATCAGACATATAGAGGAAGAAAACTTGATGGAGAAGAGTCAACATGGCTTTTGTAAAGCATGGTTTCACTTTACATTCTATTGGAATTATTTGAATGGACTCAACAAACATGTTGACAAAGGTGATCCAGTGTATATAGTGTACTTGGACTTCAGAAAGGCTTTGACAAAGTCCCTCACCAAACGTCCTTAAGCAAAAGTAATCAGTCAAGGGATATAAGGGAAAGTTCTCTCACAAATCAGTAAGGGTATGTCTACACTACCCCGCTAGTTCGAACTAGCGGGGTAATGTAGGCATACCGCACTTGCAAATGAAGCCCGGGATTTGAATTTCCCGGGCTTCATTTGCATAAGCCGGGCGCCGCCATTTTTAAATCCCGGCTAGTTCGAACCCCGTGCCGCGTGGCTACATGCGGCACGGAGTAGCTAGTTTGGATTAGGCTTCTAATCCGAACTAGCTGTACTCCTCGTGGTGGCGGCACCCGGCTTATGCAAATGAAGCCCGGGAAATTCAATTCCTGGGCTTCATTTGCAAGTGCGGTTTGCCTACATTACCCTCCTAGTTCGAATTAGGAGGGTAGTGTAGACATACCCTAACTTAGTAAAAGAGAGGGAACCGAGAGTAGGAAGATGTGGTCAGTCTTCAGAATAAACTAAGATAAAAAGCAGTGTCCCCCAGAGATCTGTACTGGAACCACTGCTGTTCAGCATTATCACAAAGGAGTGGTTCCCAATGTTTTTGAACATATTGACCCCTTTTTGATCTATTAAAATTTCATGGACCCCACTCCCTGGGGGAGAAAAAAAAAAGGAAAAGTACAGAGAGATAAAGAAAGGGAAAGTAAGGATTGGGCCCACCGTGATGGGCCCAATCCTTATTTTTAAACTGTCCACGGACCCTCTGCAATACCATTGAGGACCACCAGGTTGGGAACCACTGTCATAAATGATTTGGGAAAGGGGGTAAATAGTGAGTGGGCACAGTTTGCAGATAACACAAAATTTGTCATTAAGTCCAAAGCAGACTGCAGAGAATTAACAAAGGGATCTCAGAAAACTGGGTGACAGCGGAATGGCAGATGAAATTCATTGTTGATAAATGCAAAGTAATGCACATTTGAAAATATCCCAACTATACATACAAAATAATAGGGCCTCAATGTGCTGTTACCACTCAATAAAGAGATCTTGGTCTCATGGGTGATTTTCAGAGAACATCTGCTCAGTATACAACAGCAGTCAATGTTAAAAATCATTGAGAAAGGGTGATTATAGTAAAGTAGTAAATATAATAGTGTCACTATATAAATCCATAATATGGCTGCACCTTGGGCTCTACATGAAGCTCCTCAAGGTTATCAGATCCTCAAAAAAGTTCCATAAAAATGACAAAGGTGCAGAGAAGGGCAACAAAAATGATTAAAACTCAAGAACAGCTTTCATATGCGGAGACGTTAAAAAACTGTGACCATTCACCTTTGAAAAGAGATGAGCAAAGGGAGATGTCAATGGCATGGAGAAAGTGACTAAAAAAATATTGTTTACTCTTTCACAGAACACAAGACTCAGGGACCACCCAATGAAATTCATAGGTGGTGGGTTTAAAACAAACAAAAGGAAGTGTGTCTTCACACAACAACCAGTTAAACTGAGGAACTTGTGGCCGCTGGATGTTGCTAAGACCAAAAGTATAACAGCATATAAAAAAATTAGGTACGTTTATGGAGGATAAGTCAATCAATAATTATTAGCCAAGGTGATCAGTGATGTAACACTGTGGCCTGGGTATCCCTAAAGCCTCTGACTTCTAGGTGCTGGGACTAGATGACAGCTCATGGATCACTTGATAATTTCCCTGTTCTGTTCATTCCCTCTGAATCATGTGGCATGTGGCTACTGTCAGAAGAGAGGACACTGTGCTAAATGGACCATTGGTCTGACCCAGTATGTCTACTTCTCATTTCTGAACAGTTTGAGTACTGCTAGTTTGGGTTGCATTTATGTGATTTTGTACCTCTGGGCTCACTGATTTCAAATATGAGCAGAATTTAACTACCTTCCTTTTTTTTCTTTTCAGAGTCACAGTGTACACTCTGTGGTGAGCCTGAAGGTGAGTGTGCTTCTATATTCTTTATCATTTTCAAAGCTGTTGGTACACAGACTTGACTCAGCGATCTGTTTAATCTGTTACTTCATTTATATGGGAAACAGTAGACTGAACATGGTATTGGAAATGATGCTAACACAAGTAACACACACACTTTGCTGTGCTAGATACCGAAATGAATCAAATTAAACCAAGTAAAGCACAATACATGCTCCAGGCAGAAGGAAATTACCTTATAGGACAAATATTCCATTACAGTAAAAATGGAAATACTAGCTTTTTATTCAGTTTTTGAGTGTTTGCCAGTATAATTTGACATACGATACAATCATGAGACACTTGAAGACATCATTTTGGGGGAAAAAAGACATTGCATAAATATGAATGAAAATGAATTAATCTGTAAAGGGTCACATTTTCATGTTTACTGTAACTCAGAGTACTAAGAGAGGCTTTATTTTAACAGATGAAGTAAATAAATACTGCTTCTGAAACAAGGATAATTATGCAATAATATTAATGCAAATGTATGCACCAATGATTTTTTTCAGTGAAAGATAAACACACAGGTAAGACCAGGATTTACCTAACTAAGCAGTGAGGTGAACCTGAGGTTTTTACTTTTTGAAGGAGATAGTCCATTATTGGAGCAAAACCTGGCATTCTATTGCTCTTATTGTTATTAAAGAAAATTGTCTTCTAACACAGCCATCTGGAAACTATCTATCAAAAGCAATCCAAAATTACCGGCTATGACGGAGCCATTTTTAGTCATTTTACAAAACTCAAAAGCTTGCTTATGCTCTGTCATCTTAATTGTTCTTTACTTATATACTCAGAATAATTTCTAAAAAACAAAATAAATCTTTCTATATTTGTGCTAAGAGGAGGAGAAGCTAACAAATGCATTCAAAAGAACTAAAGATGGTATCTGACGTGATAAGTCTTGAGCCTTTGTGACTAATGAAACAATTCAGTTCATAAGAACATTTTTCATCTGCTTGCATTGATTTATTAACAGTTTTGAGAGGTTTGTTTTGATGTTTTCCATTCTTTTTACCAACACGCTACAGTACTAGTTGCAGTGCTTTTCTATGTTCTTTATATGGCCTACTTGTTTATAAAGGAAAAACATAAAACAGATGCTCAGTGGCCTTATGTGATACATTGACGAATTTACTATCTCATGGTAAATTTGTGTGTTGGATTAATTCTGTTGTTATACATGCTAAAACTGATTTTTCTAGCTTTGCAAATTTAAATTCAGCAATTCATGTTCTTAAAAGCGAATGACAAGAGTTCAGACTTTTTTTAACAAAACCTTTCACTTTTGTGTTTTAAAAAAATCTAGAAAATGGTGTGTGTGTATATATTGTTGGTGGAACTTGTATTACTTTGGTATTCATCTGATTATTCGGTCAAAAACAAACTTGGGAATTTCCTCTGGTGCACCAGAGTTTAGTACTGTAGTGCTGCTGCTATGCTAATTGCCAAATCTTAGCTACAGTTTTTAAAGTATACGCTTGACTAGGCCCTGTCAGAAGTCCAGAGAGGCCCTGAGCCACTTCCTGCTTTTGAGGTCCCTAGCCATAATAAAAATTAAAAAAGATGACATTATTACATTACTAATTACATTACTACTAATAGTGATTTGTTTATATAATCAGCTGATGAGAGAGGACATGTTCATCATTGTCTAATCTTGTGCCCTCAGAACTGATATTTTTGAATTAATATATGAACATTTTAACTCCTTTAAGGCCTATGGTATCTGATCTTAAATGAATGGTACATTGGAACATTATCCATGGTCAATAATTTGGAATAACATTTGTTTCTTTAAATTATTCTTTAAAACCTTCCCTTCAGAAGTTTATCAGGACTACTTCCAAACACACACACAAACATACACACTCTTGTACTTCAGTAAGATTAAGGAATACATACATATTTACATATCCCCAGAGGTCATATTTTGATTAGATTTTTTTTTAATCTGAACATCCACATCCAGGGACAGGGAGTACGTGTTAATTTGCCAAGCTATGCACAATTGGCTTCAGAACTAGGGACAGAAGAAGTGCAATAACATACTAAGCTGTTGTAAACTCTGCCAGAGAAATAGAAGGATGAAGACTTTGATTAGAGCAAGAACAACCTACTCATAGTGTTTCATGTTACAGAACACACATCAGGGAGAAGATGTTTACTTAAGGGCTTGCCTTTATTACACTGAAAGTGAACAATGAAATTGGCCACGAACTTATTTTATACTTCTACATCTGGTGTTTATGGAAAAGATTGAGATGTGAGGAGGGATTGGGGAAAAAGAGAAGTAATATACAATATATTTGAGAGGAATGTTAGAGGCTGTGTATATGATCCTGGCCCTACTGTGGGATTCATGGTATCTCTCTACCTATTGGTTACAAGGGTCATAGGAATTGGTGTTCCGCATTCCCTCTTGGTCTCTACCTGTGCCATATAATAATGCACTTTGGAGTCTTATATTCTTAGCCTTAGTCTCCAGAAGGATATGATAGTTTAGACTGATTCAGATTATTGGGCTTAATGTGGGAGTAAATGGGTGGGGTTTAGTGGGCTGTAGATCAGTCTAGATAATCTGGTGATTATTCCATCTCAAAGATAACATAGCAGAAATAGAAGGGATGTAAAAACAGAAGATTAATACTTCAGGTGCATGGAGAAAAAAGTGTCATGAAAAGAAATTGAAAAGTCTAGGACCCTTTATTCTAAAGGAGACACAAATGAGGAAATGTAACAAGCGCAAAAGAATAAAAATTTTCAGTTATCAGTACTTATATCAAGTCAAGAGGATGATAAATGAATTACAAATTTAAAACTAATAAAAGGAAATACCATTTGCGTAATGCTCAATTGGCCTGTGGAACTCATTGCCACAGGATACATTTGAAAAGAATAGTTACAGAGGGTTTTAAAAGCACTGTATGCTTCTATGAATAGTGAGAATGTCCATGGCTACTTTAGAAAGGATTAAAGAAAAACAAATGTGTTAGGTACATAAATTCTTAGGCATTAGTGCATAATTGAATGACTTAGGAAAAACGTTGTATAAGCAGATTATCCCATAATTATCCATTTCCTTGCCCCTTTCTCTGAAGCATTTGGTACTGGCTGTAGTCAGAAGCAGGATAATGGCCTACAGACCTTTGGTTTGGTCTGGTTTGACAATTCCTATAATCTTGAGAATTTTGGTTTTTAATTAGATCATGTGGATCTCTGATAGTAACACTTTTGAGAGGAAAGGCAAAAATTTAGGACTTAAATTGCTTTTGAGGATCTGAGTCAGACCCATTGATATTTATTTAGTTAAATCAGTAGGAGTTAAGCCCAGATTAGGTTTCTTTCTCCCTCTGCACACTGTATGTGAATTTGGACAAGACAGTTGAGCCTCAGTGGTGAGTCAGCTAATCAGGGTTAGTTGTCTTGTTTTCTTAATTTCACCATTAATTCAAGGGTGTCTCCTCAGAAAATATTATGGGGGTGCATGTGCAAAGTTGTATTAGCATACAGAATCTTACATTTTATTGCATTATTTCTGCAAAATCAGAGAAAAGGCTGCATGATTTTTTTTTTAATTCATGTCAGAGAATAAACAATGTCTTTGAGCAGCTGTTCTGACCATGAACATTTCTAAGTAATTGGATAAATTTTAACAGTGAAAGGAGAGTTATTTGTGTTGCCACAGATTTACATTTAGAAACAAAGAACATACCTGGATTGTTGTATTTGTCTCAGGCCTGCTGACATGGGGTGGCAGGGAAGATGGCAACTGCTCTGGGTCCCAGTGACACAGTAGTGTCAGCGGCTAGAACCATGAACCTGGAAATCCAGTGTACTGGGCTATGCTGTCTGGGCAGTACTGAAGGATGAGTCTAGCTCCAGAACTGCCCTTCTGGGAATGTGGAGATGCCCCCGTCTCACCTTGCCAGTGTCCAGTAATTCTGCCCCCGATTCTTCTCTAAAGAGAAACAAAGTTATGTTAAAAACCACATTTTAGCAAAAAAAAAAAAAAAAAAAAGGAGTTTCATGAAGGCTTGACGATAAATACCTTCACATTGTGGGGTCAAGTGTTGACCTGATCAAAAGCTTTTTCCTGGGAAGAAAAATATTCTAATTTCTATGTATTAATGTCTTTTAACCAGCCCACCTTGGGAAAAAACAATGAGAAATACTGATTTGTTAGGATTTTTTTAAAATGAAAGAAAATAAATTTTGAATGTTTGTAATCAAAATCAGCAATATTGTTGAGTTTTGGATAACTTGCCATACAATATCTAAAATATCTAGAACTGTCAGAACTACCCAGGAGCCTGAGATTTTTCCTAAGTGGCAATAGACATAACTTTGTATGTATAGTTTGGATCACATTTTATAATGGTCATTTCTTTGCATTTATGAACACTGAATTTCATCTGACATTTTGTTGCTTATCTCCCAGTTTTGTAAGATCCCTTTGTCAGCTCTTCACATTCTGCTTTGGACTTAAATATCTTGAGTAATTTTGCATTGTCTGCAAAATTTGCTACCTCACTATTTATTTATTTTTTTCAGAGTATGGATAAGTTAAACAGCACAGGTCCTAGTACAGACCCTTGGGAGACACCACTAATTACCTCTCCCTAGAGAGCTGTGTTTCTGGTTAAAATTAGTGTTTCTGAATAAATTTCCCTTGTTTTCCTTCTCAAAATTAGGGGCAATATTTAGTTCAGAAAGGATTTCTTAGTACACGTTGAACCTCCCAAATCCCAGACTCTCTGATCCGGTAACATCCGTGGTCTGCTAGGACCATGGATGTTGCTGGACGAAAGAACCCTGGAGGCTGGGAGCTCATGCTAGCCAGGAGTCCTGTGGGTGCTGGGGAGTGGGACCAGCAGTGGCTGGAGAGCCCAGCCCAGGGGAGTCCCAAACTTGGGTTTCCCTGCCTTGACTGAGAACGCCCAGCAGCAGTGGGACTTGTG